TCCCTTTTGCTACTAGGGAGCCCAACTGTGTAATAGCATCTCTGCCACCAGCCCCAGGCAATGAAGATAGCCACTACTAAGCTTCTTAGTGATGCTGATGGCCCACCAACCAGTGTTTATTTCTTATAACCTTGATAAACAGAATGCTCTCCGGACCATCTTAAGGAACATAGCTTACATAGTAATTCCATTGTAGTTTGTCTGAGTCTTTTGATTTCTTCTTTGACAGTCTGTGACAGCACTTCTTGTATCTCTATTTCACTTAATGTGGGCCATTGCCTTTTCTAAGCTTTCAAGAATCATCTCAGCAGTGTATTAAACTCTACCTTGCCAGTGTTAAATTCTGTCACACAAGAGTGCCCTTATGTTTTCAAACTCTCCATTTCCAACTTTATATTCCACCTTATTTCATCAGCACCTCAGGATCCATTCTCAGGCTAGTCTCTCAGTTCCTGCCAGTACATTAACCAGACCTCTCAGCTCCTTAGGTCGATCGTCCCTCTCCTCCCTTAACAGACCCAGCACTTGTAGTCAGGTCATGGTGAGAATTGATCCTCCTGACTGATCTGTGGACAGGTAGGGAGCTGGGAGCTGATTCTGAGGAGTGCCAGCATTGTCTTGTACATTGCCTGCCTCATTTGAGGATTCTGCATTATTTTCAAGCAAGGAGAAAGGTCTCATTTTCCAGTAAGGTGGGTAACTTCTGCAGGGCCAGAGAGTTCAGGGGAATCTATGGATTTAAAGCACTCAAGTACATCTACACATTCAGTCTCATCCTTTTCCACTTCTTTCCTATCAGGACCTTGACCTGGGCTAGATTTGCCTTTCCTGAGAATTCAGGCTTTGCTTAAGTCTTTCATTCTCAATTAAGTTCTGTACCTGATCCTTAGCTCTGTGATTGTCTAAAGATGAGGATGTGTTTAAATGCTACCAAGGAGACCCTATGACTCTCACACTTTGCCTTAGGTTGATGATTTGCCCTGAGCCTGCAGTTTTCTCTTTTTGAGGAATTGATGGCATCCAACAAGAGCCACCCAATTCCGTAATCCTTATTTCATTTTTCCCAACCACCACTCGTCTGTCAGTTTGTTGTACTGTGGTGGCTTGTGTGTTGCTGTGATGCTGGAAGCTATGCCACTGGTATTTCAAATACCAGCAGGATCACAAATGGTGGACAGGTTTCAGACTAGGAAGAAGGACCTAGTGATCTGCTTCTAAAAAAATTAGCCAGTGGAAACCTTTTGAATAGCAGTGGTACACTGTCTGATACAGTGTCGGTAGATGAGACCCTCAGGTTGGAAGGCACTCAAAATACGGCTGATGAAAGGCTGCCTCCTCAAAGTACAGTTGATCTTAATGGCGTGGATGGAGTAAAGATTTTGGGACACACTTGTTCATGTGGCATGACTCAAAATGAGCCAAAAAGCTGCAAACATCCATCGATAATTGGAACGTGGAACGTACAAAGTATGAATCTATAAAAATAGGAAATTGTAAAAAAAAAAAAAATGAAATGGAATGCATAAGGATCAATATCCTAGGCACCAGTGAGCTGAAATGGACTGGTTTTGGTCATTTTGAATCAGACAATCATATGGTCTACTATGCCAGGAATGACAAACTGAAGAGGAACAGCGTCACATTCATTGTGAAAAAGAACATTTCAAGATCATCCTGAAGTACTATGCTGTCAGTGATAGGATAATATCCATAAGCCTACATGGAAGACCACTTAATACAATTATTATTGAAATTTACATAACCACCACTAATGCCAAAGATGAAGAAATTGAAGATTTTTCTTTACTAACTTCTGCAGTCTGAAACTGATCAAACATACCATCAAGATGCATTGATAATTACTGGTGACTGGAATGCAAAAGTTGCAAACAAAGGATCAGTAGTTGGAAAACATGGCCTTGGTGATAGAAATGATGCCGGAGATCACATGATATACTTTTGCAAGACCAACGACTTATTCATTAGAAATACCTTTTTTCAACAACATAAATGGTGACTATACACATGGACCTTGCCAGATGGAATACACAGAAATCAAATTGACTACATCTGCGGAAAGAGACGGTGGAGAAGCTCAGTATCAGTTAGAACAAGGCTAGGGGCCAACTGCAGAAGAGACCATCAATTGCTCATATGCAAGTTCAAGTTGAACCTCAAGAAAATGAAAACAAGTCCACAAGAGCCAAAGTACGAGCTTGAGTATATTCCACCTGGATTTAGAGATCATGTCTAGATTTGATGCACTGAATAATAACGACTGAAGACCAGATGAGTTGTGGGATGACATCAAGGACATCATACATGAAAGCAAAAGGTCATTAAAAAGACAGGAAAGAAAGACCAAAATGGATGTCAGAAGAGACTCTGAAAGTTACCCTTGAATGTGGAGTAGCTAAAGCGAATGGAAAAAATGATGACATAAAAGAGCTGAACAAAAGATTTCAAAGGGCAGCTCGAGAAGACACAGAATTATAATGAAATGTGCAAAGACCTGAATTAGAAAATTAAAGGGGAAGAACACACTTGGCATTTCTCAAGCTGAAAGAACTGAAGAAAAAATTCAAGCCTTAAATTACAATACTGAAGGATTCTATGGGCAAAATATTGAACAACGCAGGAAGCATTAAAAGATGGAAGGGATACACAGAAGTCACCACACCAAAAAGAACTGGTCAACATTCAACCATTTCAGGAGGCAGCATATGATCAAGAACCGACAGTATTGAAGGAAGAAGTTGAAGCTGCACTGAAGGCACTGGTGCAAACTAGACTCCAGGAATCGACAAAATGTTTCAACAAAGGGATGCAACGCTGGAAGTGCTCACTTGTCTATGCTAAGAAATCTGGAAGACAACTGCCTGGCCAACCGACTGGAAGAGATCCATATTTGTGCCCACTCCAAAGAAAGGTGATCCAACAGAATGCAGAAATTATCTAACCATATCATTAATATTACATGCAAGTAAAATTTTGATGAAGGTTAATTCAGAAGCGGTGGCAGCAGTACATCTACAGGGAACTGCGAGAGATTCAGGCCAGATTCAGAAGCGAACATGGAATGAGGGATATCACTGCTGATGTCAGGTGGATCTTGGCTGAAAGCAGAGAATACCAGAAAGACGTTTACCAGTTTTATTAATTATGCAAAGGCATTCGACTGTGTGGATCATAAAAAATTATGGATAACAATGAGAAGAATGGGAATTCCAGAACACCTAATTGTGCTTATATGGAACCTGTACATAGACCAAGAGGCAGTAGTTTAAACAGAACAAGGGGATACTGCATAGTTTAAAATCAGGAAAGGTGTGCATCAGGGTTGTATCCTTTCACCTTATGCAATCTGTATGCTGAGCAAATAATCTGAGAAGCTGGATTATATGACGATGAACTTGGCATCAGGATTGGAGGAAGACTCATTAACAACCTGTAGATGACACAACCTTGCTTGCTGAAAGCAAAGAGGACCTGAAGCACTTACTGATGAAGATCAAAGACTACAGCCTTCAGTATGGATTACACCTCAATGTAAAGAAAACAAAAATCCTCACAACTGGGCCAATAAGCAACATCATGATAAACAGAGAAAATATTGGAACTGTCAAGGATTTCAGCTACTTGGATCCACAATCAATGCCCATGGAAGCAGCAGTCAAGAACTCAAACGATGTATTACCTTGGGCAAATCTGCTGCAAAAGACCTCTTTAAAGTGTTAGAAAGCAAAGATGTCACTTTGAGGACTAAAGTGTGCCTGACCCAAGCCATGGTGTTTTCAATCACCTCATATGCATGCAAAGACATTTTAAATGTCAACAACTAAGAAAGGGGATACATAATTGCTTTAAAATTATCTTGGCAATATGAATAAAGACCAAAGAATTGATGCATTTGAATTATGGTGTTGGTGAAGAATATTGAATATACCATGGACTGCCAGAATAACCAACAAATCTGTCTCGGAAGTACAGCCAGAATGCTTCTTAGAAGTGGGGATGGAGAGATTTTCTCACGTTCTTTGGACGTTATCAACATGGACCAGTCCCTGGAGCTTGGTAGTCAGTGAAAAAGAGGAAGACCCTCGACAAGATGGATTGACACAGTAGCTGCAACGATAGGCTCAAACATAGCAATGACTGTGAGGATGGTGCAGGGCTGGACAGTGTCTCATTCTGTTGTACATAGAGTTGGTATGAGTCAAAACTGATTCAACGGCACTAACAATTTGACCTAAACATTACACAAGTCAGTACATTCCTTACTAGCGGTATCCTATCCCAGTTTATCACAAATGAATGTTTCAGGAACTGAAGAGCTATCACAGGCCAGGAACTATCAATATTCCACCTATCATCAGCGATGTTGTCCTCATTGCCTCATGGTGAGTGACCAACTCCACAACCCCATTCTTAAAGTTTGCTTCCTAGGACTACTTATGGTATCAAATGTCTTAGGTCAAGTTCCCTAGAAGCAGAGCCTGAGACGGATTCAGGGCCACATGACTTACTAAAGGAATGCTCTTCAGGAAAACCTCTGAGGGAATGAAATGGGAAAAGGGAAACAGCCAAGCATGGATGTAGTCTCAGGTAAAGTCTAGCTGTGGCCTGATGGACAAAGGGAGGATTCTGGCTCATAAACTGCATCACAGCCCCACCCCCTCTTGAAGCAAATGAGTCAGTCTTTTGTACCCCGTATTAATCAGTCATTGGCTGTGGATTGGGAATGGGTAACACCTGGGTGAGGCAACTCCCATCATTTGAGGACAATTCTCCAGAATCTCTGGAGAAGGGGGAGAGCTGTGAATGATTAGCAGTCAAAATTGAGAGCAGCTGGATGTGCCAGCTTGGTAAAGGGGATCTGGACAGGGCACCACAGTGTACAACACATACATTCAACAAATATTTATTGGGCATTTATTGTAAGCCAGGCAAAGTCAGCAAAAGCATGGCTTCAGAAGTGCCCAAAAGTCCTCTCTCTCTCTCTCTAGCAAATAGACTCAAATTAATCATCTTATACATATTTTCTTTCCCCATCAAACTCCTTACCAGACCTCTCCACAAGGTAAGGATAGCCAGACCATGTACCCACCTACTCCTAATTAGTTCAATTTCAACCGCAACTCAAACTGACAGCATTGTATATGCCATTATTGTATGGTGGTGGTCTATCACCAGGGCAACTGGGAATCAGTATACATACTGATTGGACCAAGATGCTTAATTTGACAAAGTCCAATTCCTCTATGCACTTAGCTACCCACACTCTTATATATAATAATATCACTCTTGGTAATGTAAACTAGTCCACAGTTTTGTCTGTCTTCTTTTTCCCTAAGGTACCCTCTCTTTTCTCCTTAAGATCTGACTGACCAGCAGTTTCTCCTGAATTTACATCTCCTGAATTTCTCTTTCTACTAGCTAACCATGATACTAGTAGAATCAAAACAAAAACAAGTAGAGTGTGTTTCATAGAGGAGTCATAAATTGAATGAAGCAGCAAGAACACTTGCCAAAATAGAAATACTTTAAGTCAATTTCTTCTTCTAAATGGGTTTAATACTCAATATGGGAATGACTGGAGGATTCTAGTGGCTGGGGTAATCATTTCTAGAAAAGGTTCATTGCTAAGGTACCAAAACAGATATCACACTGAAGAGTCTTCTCTTTATTTCACTGTGCTCTTCCCTAAATAGATATGCTGCTGTCAAGCGAGGCAGAAATTACAAATGAAGCTTATTTCTACTGCACTCATGAAGCTTTTCCCACTGTCAGTTTTCTGAATTTCAAATGAAAAATGAGTGCCATCTGAAGGCCTTCCTTCAACCACCATATTTATAGGTTCTCTCATATAGATTTTCAAGCATGAAAATGCTAACCAAAGCATTCCTAAATGATGAAAGTGAATATGTATCAACTTATTGTGGATTCTCCAATGTTCCTAAAGGCTGAGTTCTAACTCAAGGATTTCAACATATCTGTAGGTTTGATGGTTAAGTTGGAGAAAATGCTTGAAGGTGTTTTTTTCATTCAATATACATGTAAGGTTTCTCTTCAGGAGTGCTTCTCTAGAATTGAAAAGCTACTCTGTAATAGAAACACCTATACATTTATGAGATCTGTTCTCTCATGGCTTCTCAGATGTTTAAAAAGGCTACAACTCCAACTGAAACTCATTCCACATTCTTTACACTGAAAGGGTTTCTCACCAGTATGGATTCTCTGATGTTGATTAAGATGTGATTTCAGAGTGAAGCCTCTTCCACATTCATTACATTGATAGGATTTTGTGCTGGAATAGATTTTTTGATGTTTTAGGTGGGAACATTGGCCAACATTTTCTCTACATGTATCACATTCATAGGTTTTCTCTTCAGTATGAGTTCGGTAATGCTGAATAAGGTCTGAACCATAACTAAAGGCTTTTCCACATATATCACACTTATAAGGTTGCTCTTGTAACTCAATTTTCTTATCTTCAAACACTGTTAAGTTCCAACTATATGCTTCTTCACAAATGCCATTTTTTTCATTTTTCTGACCCATGTGGAGCACCTGATGCTCAATTAAGCTAACATATTGAAAAAAGATTTCTCCACATTCATGACACTGATGGGATTTGTCTCTAGTGTGGAGTCTCAGATGTCCAGCAAGGTGTGACCGCCTGCCAAAGCCTTTCCCACATTCATTACACTTAAAGGGTCTCTCCCCACTGTGGACACTCTGATGCTGAACAAGATGGGACCTCACTCTAAAAGCTTTGCCACATAAATGACAAGTATAGGGTTTTTCACCAGTGTGTACTCGCTGATGTTGAGTTAGGTGCACACGTTGATTGTAGCTTTTCCCACATTCATCACACTTAAATGGTTTCTCCCCAGTGTGTATTCGCTGATGTTGAATAAGATGTGCACTCTGAATAAAGCTTTTCCCACATTCATTACATTTATATGGTCTCTCTCCTGTAGAGGACTTTTTATGGGCATATGTGACTTCACTGAAATTTATCCTCTTCGAAGGGGGTTGTCCTAATATTGCTTTCATGGGAATTCCCTGATTTCTATCCAACTTGTCTTGGTGTTCACTGTCTTCTCCAAAATCTTGAACTTGAGAAACATTTCTTTGGATTCTTCCTGACAGTTCCATGTCTGCTTCTGGAAATTCTGAAATTTTCTTCTTAATGTTCAATTTTATATTCTTCCTTCTTTTGTCACTGCCTGAAAAAATAAAGAGAAAATGCAAATGTTATCCTCTCTTTTACAGAAGAAAGGGAACTGTCAGGGAAAACAGGATGATTAGATGAAAACTATTATATAATATATTATATATTATATAATCAAAAGTGGATTCATGTATGTATTTGATGCCAACAGGAATGAAAAAAACACATTTGGGACTTGTCCAGCAAAAACAAGACAAAGAAGTGGCTAACTTTACAAGGGTGGTGAAAGTGATTGCAGTCAGGCAACAGTACGGATAAGTAAAAACTTCTATTACAAAGAAAAGAGGGAAAGAAATTCTAAAATGGGAGAGGGGATAGGAAATGTTGAGGGGGTCATTATCTCAACATAAGTTAGGCAGAGAGAATGAGGTAGAACAAGAATAAACATGGATGGTGAGAACTGACAAAAAAACTGGAAGAATGGAAAGCAAATGATCATGAAAGGCATAAAGAGTTGGGAAAAATACCTGATAGGAGCAAGGAAAGAGAGAAATATGCCAGCAAAAATTACTGTCAAAGGGTAGGTGAATATCAATTCCTGTCCTCTTCACTCTTAGCCAACTCTATAGCTTCAGTTTCCTCCCTACGGTACCACATACTTCTCCTTTGGGAATGCTCATCACCTTCAGTATCTGCTTTTCCTCCTTTCCCCCAAGACCATCAGCTCCACAAGCAAATGATCTGTATCTGTTCTGTTCACTGTCATATCCCGAGCATCTAGCACTAGAGACTCTCAATAAATATGGCTGGATGAGCAAATAAAGTATCTTTTCTTTGATCCAAAAAAAGGAGAGGAGGTAGGTGAGTATTAACTGGGAAGCTAGTCATAAGAACAACTGGGGAGAGGATATGAAACAGAAACTATTTTAAAGCAACTGCTTTCCAAGTCTACAGCATTATTGGAAGGCTTTCCCCAATGAGGCAGTTACCAAGAAGAATGGGACAGAAGAGATATCTCAGCCCAACCCAGAACTTTAAGACACTATGACCTTCATAAACTCCTGTTCCATGATGGAAGAGGTACTAATGGTTGTTAAGTTAAATGATGAGTAGCTGAGCTTGGGGACATCAAAAAGCACAATTGAAAAAGAAACCAAAAATAAAACTTTGGCCAATCACAGAGTTGTCTGAAGAATATCAATAAGAGTCTTTAAGTTCACAGCAAAGTTTATAGTGATCCTACACATGTATGTTTAATGCCACTTGAACAGATAAGGAAAACATATAAGTAAACAAACAGGAAAATTACTCAACCTTATTCATAATCAAATTAATGACTATGAATACAACAAAGAATAATCTGCTTATTCAATTTGTTAAAAAAATTTTAATAATGCTGGCAAGAATTTGGTAAAAATGATAGTCTCACATGTGGTACAATTCTTTTGAAAAGCAATCTGTTAATATGTATTGAGTCATAAAGATATTTTTATCCTTTCCTCCATTAATCCCACTTCTAGGAATCTACTATAAGGAAATAAAAGTAAGTATAGAAAAAGCCATAGGCATAGCACAGTTATCAAAAGATCAACAACTGAGGAACAGTTGATTAGAACTACGATGCATCCACACAATGGCAGGTTATACAGTCAAAAATAACAAACAGAAAGGCTGAATAACACTGGAAAATGTGCTATGTCTAATATTAAATTATATCCTATGAGTACAACTAAGGAACCCTGGTGGTACAATGGTTAAGTGATCAGCTGCTAACCAAACCAGCCAGCCACTCTGCAGGAGAAAAGACCTGGTGATCTGCTCCCGTAAAGATTTCAGCCTAGGAAACCCTACGGGGAAGTTCTACTCTATCCTATACGGTCGCAATCAACTTGACAGCACACAACAAGTGTAACTATATAAAAATAAGAATGTGAAAATAGATAGAAGGAAATACAGTAAATAACAGTTATACTAGTTAGGGTGGTGGGATTATGGATGATTTTTTTTCTCCTTTCTCTCCCCCAAATTTCCTATACTATTGTTATTTTATTATTTTAGAATAAAATAAGTAAATTAGGAAAAGGCGGAAAAGGGAAAGAAGCATGTAAGAGAGTAAAAAAAAAGTCATTTACTATAATAGGAAGTAAACAGATAATGTTTAAAATTGACAATTTAAGAAACAGCAGTATTATTTTAAAATATAGAATAACCAGAAGAAACAGGTAAGAGCTAAAAGCAGGCACCTCTGGGGAAAGGAAAGTTGTAGGGATGAGGGGAGGGGGGGCATAGAATTTTACCTATTAAACTGACAACCAATTAAGGTATAAACATGAATAAAATAAACTGCTATCTTTGCCCCTTCTTACTGCTCCCAGTATCACAACCCATCTGTCCTACTGTACTAAGCTAATAAAACAATTTTTGCCTCTCTTTATCCCCAAATACAAACTCCTCACGCATACATCTTTGGGATTTCTCTCTGAAGTGGCGTTTCAGATGTTCAATCAGATGGGAATGCCGACCGAAGTTTTTTCCACATTCATTACATCCATAGGGTCTTTCTCCACTGTGCACGCTATGATGCTGAACAAGATGTGAGCTCACCCGGAAAGCTTTTCCACACACCTGACATTTATAGGGTTTCTCACCAGTGTGGACTCTCTGATGCTGAGTAAGGTGCACACGCTGATTATAGCTTTTCCCACATTCACCACATTTAAACGGTTTTTCTCCAGTGTGGATTCGCCGATGTTGAATAAAGTTTGAGGCTTGAAGGAAAAATTTACCACAATCATTACATTTGTGACCTCTCTCACCATTTGTGTTTTGCTTACGATTAATGCCAAGATCTCTTTTCTCAGAAGGGTTCTGCCTTGATTTCCCCACAGGGGGGTTTACCTGCCACCTTTCTACCATGCCCTTAAGGTCACTAACTTCTGCAAACTCTGGACTCTGGGGAACATTCCTTTCAGTGCTTCCTGACGTCATCCAGTGTGATTCGGCTTCATCAGAATTCTGCTCTACTATGAGTTCCATGTTCTCATTCCTGGACTCATAATCTGAAATAATAGAAGAAAAATGGAAACATTAGCAAGCCCCTGAATTAGAACAAAGAAAAGGACTGATGGGTATAGGATAATTAAATAAAACCGACATGTGCTGGGAATGCATGACTTTGTAAAGTCATATGCAAAATGACATGACAAAGAATACTCAAGCAGGAAACTAAGACAGGTTAGGGATGGAAGAGCTGGCAAAAAGTGGTTCAAAGGGATGAGGCTGCACAGCAGTCCCTCTATTTAATGAAGATGATATCCTCTTGGTATGGTCCTTACATACGGTACCTGTTTGTGAATACCTGTGCAGTATCAAATATTCTTAATAAAATTTGATACTGGGTTATACAGCTAACCCAGTCTTCACCTTCCTCTTCCTGTTTGTTCACAGCCTGAAGAAAGATGATCTTTCCAGCTTTTTCAATCCCCAAAGGATCTCAATTTGGTATGAATTAGTCTAAAGGAAAAAAAAATTCTTTCTACACCCAGAGAAGAACCTACTCTGTCAAGAGATAGATTAACAAATAGTCATTGTTGAATACAGATGTTTGAGTGACTGCAATCAGTTCCCTGTGCAACTCTATAAGCAACATACACTTTACCCATAACCCTGCAGTTTAATACGGTTTGCAGAGACAAATCTTCTGTTATTAACGAAAAACAGGGAATATTATTTTTAAAATGCTCGAGTTCATAGCTTATTGAGAATCTCCTAATTAAAAATTTTTTGAAGAGTTTTCAAAAATTATATAATAATGGGAAGAAGAGTTAATATTTGCTAAGTTCTTCCTATAAGGAGCCCTGGTGGTGCAATGGTTAAAAGCTCGGCTGCTAACTGAAAGGTCAGCAGTTAAACCCACCAGCGTCTCTGTGGGAGAAAAGACCTAGCGATCTGCTCCCGTAAACACTGCAGCCTAGGAAACCCTATGGGGCAGTTCTACTCTGACCTATAGGATCCCTATGAGTCCGAATCAACTCAACAACACACAAGTGCTTACTACGGGGCCAGGCATGATGCTGTTCTACAATTTTATGACAATCCTTACAATGACCTTTTGAGGTAGGTACTACTGTATTTTTACGCAAATAACATGTGCAGCTTCTGTGTTTGTTTGTCAACTGTGCCCTCCCTGCCCCATGAGGTATTTTCTTAAGAGCTGCTATGCCAGTCTTTTTTTACATGTTGCTGCAAAAAAAATTAACATAGCGCGCTTACAAAAATGCCTCGTGGCGGGGAGACTGCGGTTGGCAAACAAATGTAGAAGGCACGAGTTTTTTGCATCACTATCTTTTTCTAAAATTGTTGTTGAAAGCATACACAGCAAAAACAAAACAAAACCCGCTACCGTCAAGTCAATTCTGACTCATAGCAACCCTATAGGACAGAGCAGAACTGCCCCATAAGGTTTCCATGGAGCACACGGTGTATTTGAACTGCTGACTTTTTGGTTAGCAGCCGTAGCTCTTAACCACTATGCCATCAGGGTTTCCTACACAGCAAAACATACACCAATTCAACAATTCAGTGACACTGATTATATTTTTCAAGTTGTATAATCATTCTCACCCTCCTTTTCTACATTGTTCCTTCCCCACTAACATAAACTTACTGCCCCCTAAGCTTCCTATCTAACCTTTCGAGTTGCTGGTGTCAGTTTGATCCCCTATAGATCTCTTAAAAAGCACAATGCTCGAGACAAACATTCTTTACTAATTAAGCTAAACTATTGTTTGATTTAATGAAGACTTCATACATTTGGTTTAAGATTAAAAGATTATCTCAGGGCAACAGTTTTGAGGGTTCATCCAGCCTCAATGGCTCCAGAAATTCTAGATTCCATCAGAATCTGATTTCTGTTCATTTTCCGCTTTTAGACCAGGATTCTTCTATAGAATCTTTGATCAAGATGTTCAGTGATGGTAGCCAGGCACCATCCAGTTCTTCTGGTCTCATGGCAAAGAAGGTAGTTGTTCATGGAGACAATTAGTCACACATTCCATTTCCTCCTCCTATTCCTGACTTTCCTTCTTCCTCTGCTGCTCCAGGAGAAGAGAGGTTTAAATATTGTACCTTAAATACTACTATCCTTTTTTGACATAGTCAGAAGTTTTAAGTCTTATATCATAAAGACATCTTTATTTTAATTAGCCTTATAACTATTTTTACTTAATTCTTCTCTTCCCAAAAAGAATTTTTAATAGCATGTCATGGATTGAATTATGTCCCCCAAAAATGTGTGTATCTATTTGGCTGGGCCATGACTCCTGGTATTGTGTGATTTTCCTATATGTTGTAAATCCTGCCTCAATGATGTTAATGAGGGAGGATGGGTGGCAGTTGTGTTAGTAAGGCAGGACTCAGTCTGCAAGATTGGATTGTATCCTGAGGCAATCTCTTGAGATATAAAAGAGAGAAGTGAGCAGAGAGACAGGGGGACCTCATACCACCAAGAAAGCAGTGCCAGGAGCAGAGCCCGTCCTTTGGACCTGGGGTCCCTGCGCAGAGAAACTCCTAGTCCAGGGGAACACTGATGAGAAGAAGGCCAATAGAGAGAGAAAGCCTGGAGCTGATGTCCTGAATTTGGACTTTTAGCCTACTTTACTGCGAGGAAATAAACTTCTCTTTGTTGAACCCATCCACTTGTGGTACTTCTGTTGTAGCAGCACTAGATGACTAAGACATAGCACAAACACATATAAACAAAATAACTCTATCACAAACCAGACTTTTTACATGTTTTTTCCTTTTCTATCTAACTAGGCAGGTAATCACAGCTATCACATATTTTTATTTTCTCTTTTATTCACACCTACTTATGCTCACATATATTATTATTAGAATTCTCTCCATTAAACAAGCACATGGCTTTCTTTTTCTACGTGTGCATTTGAAACAAATCAGATTAATCCAATGTACTTCTTTAGGGTTAACAACTGCCTTTTTCCAGAGAAGGCAATTATACAGTTATATCGCCTTTACAGATTTACTTCTTTCTTCTTTCCTGCATGACAAGCTTTATGCTCATTTCCCCGTCTGTCCTCCTTACCCATTGCTATGCCTAGGCTGCAGAGTAACGCAGTGGTCAATACAAAAACACCCAATCAGGCAGATTTGGTGCTTTACAAATTCATGATCTTCAACTTCACTGGTGCCCTGTCTGGCAATTCTTTGTTTCTAAGGTTGGTTCTTTTCCCCATTCATTTTTCTCAGCAGCTATATCTAAATGTCTCCATCATGATCTCCGAGCTATATCACTGTATTAAAAAGGCACAGAATAGTATATATGGTATAATGTTTGCAAGCGTGTGTATATATACTGAATATATGTAAAAATACAATCAAGAAGCTGCTAACCATCATTGCCTTTGTCAAGGAAAACTAGGGGACTGAAGATCAGGGGTAGGTGACTTACTTTTCACTTTATACTCACTTGTACCATCTCACTATTTTTTTTTTTTTTTACCATGAGCATGTATAATGTTTTAAAAACCAAAGTTCTCCACTGCACTCAAATCTCTACTCCACCACCTACTCCATTACCTACTTTCTCTCAACAGACTCAAAAAACTCCTAGAATGTCCCATAACCACCTATAAACTTAAAACAGCACCCTTATTCTTTCATCTTGCCCTTGTCTCCCAACGGAAGAGATGTCTCTCTTCTAAGGTCAATCTTTCCTCCTGTTCCTTGGATTCCATCACGCCCTTCCTGTTTTCCAGGGACCTCCCTACATCAATTATCCACTCTTCCCTACCCCAATATTTCAAACTCACTCTATATTATTTCCCGTTAGTATTTAAATATACTTCTTAAATATAAGCTTATTAAATCAAAAGGACGTATAAAAATAATCATCCATCTAACTCATGTACCCGTTCGGTGATCAGTCCTCTTGTCTACTTCACAAAGTTGTCAAAAGTTTATCATAGCTATTGTAAGTTTATGATGGCTTTCCCAAATTCCTCTTCTGTGCAGTTTTCAAAGAAACTGTCTCTGTTCCCCAAGGCCCCAACTACTCCATGGAAACTGCTGTCGCTAGAAATCATTCATTTATTTTTTTAAATCTCGTTTCTAAGTCTGATGGATACTTTTTAATCCTGACTTCTATGATGCTGTTAGGAATCTACAGGCATGAAAATAATCTAATATGGCCTTCCCAGAGAAGTTAAGGAGGCAGCAGCCACTGATCATATTCGTAATGTAGAAGGGTATACTGAAGTTGTAAAGATCCTGTAATGAGATGGAAAGTAGGAATTTAAAACTGTTTGGAGAATGGTATAGAAAAGAACTGTGCCAAGAACCTACAACTTTGAAACCCACGATTGAAAATGATAAAGCAATACAGTCAGCCGTCTGTATCTGCAGGTTCCGCATCCAAGGACTCAGCCAACTGTGGATCGAAAACATTTGGGGGAAAAAAAAAGTGATGTGTAGGGATACCCTGCTGTAGCCTCCTGCCATTTCACAGATCCTTAGTCTCTCTCCAGTACTCACTGTTTCAGCACTGTTCACCTCACGTCTGACATGTACTATGTAGTTAGGCCTACAATGGTTGCATCGGTACTGAACATGTACAGACTTTCTTTTCTGGTCATTATTCCCTAAACAAAACAGTATAACAACTATTTACATAGCATTTACATTGTATTAAGTATTATAAATAATCTAGAGACGATTTAAAGTATACAGGAGGATATGCATAAGTTATATGCAAATACTATGCCATTTTATATAAGGGACTTGGGCATCCGGGGATTTTGGTATCCGCGAGGCTGCTGGAATCAATCCTCCGCAGATACCGAGGGACAACTGTCCTAACAGACTCAGACAAGAGAACTATCTGAAATTAATTTAAAAAGACAAGAAATATTTGCATTAAATGACAGTATTCACAGTATATCAATAATTCCTTGAGATAAAAGACCACCACTAAGATTCCAATAGACAAGTGAGCAAAGGGCATGCAGAAATAAATCAAAGAAAAGGAAATACAAATAAATATAAATAGTAATAAAAGAAATGAAAAATTTTAAAGAGCAAGAGTCATTTTTACATCTTTTAAATAAAGGCCTGTGAGTGAACTAATACACTTAGACAAGGTAAATTGGCATAATGCTTTTTGAAGGATATTTGGCATTATGTATGTATTTCATCTAAAGTCTACTGGTGTGCTTCATACATAATGGTTCTTCTAAAAGAATTAATTCAACATAAGCTAAAAGCCATAAGCTCCAAAATGTCTGCTACAGGGCAGAGATGTTTATAATTGTTGCAGGCAGCACAATCAAAGGTTAGTTTTAAGGATCATAACTTAGTTAGAAATAGGTTCAAAACTTCAGTCAGGATGCAGAATTCAAGAAGCAACATGACGTGTGAAATGCAGACGCCAGGACGAACATCCTAACATAGGTACTGGTGATCTGAGAACTATGATAGTGATATTTTTCTAATAAACTCCCAGGTGATGCCATTGTGACACTGTAGTGACTATTAAAATACACAGTTATTCTGTAAAGTCTGGGATGTCTTCATAAATCGGAATTACTCAGTAAACATTATCCAATTTATCAAGAGTAGAGTACAATGACCACTAAAAATTTGTTAAAAACCAAACCAAAAAAACGAAACCTGTTAGTTTTAAGCTCTCTTTTACTTTTAAGTAGCAAAAACATAGCATTTGCAATTGCAAATACCACCCCTCAGGTACTATCAGTCTTCAATCACACACATCTTTATTATGATAGAAATAATCAGAATAAGCTGAATAAGTAAAAAAAAAAGAAAAAAATATAAGTCATAGCAATGAAAACATATATGCTTTTATATGATGTGCTAGAAACATTCCTTACAGGATAACAAAATTAAGATGTCCTAATCCATGCAGACAATAATTCTTACCAATGGAAGCAATACTCCCATAGTTTTCCTTTCTGTCATCCCTATAATGATTCTTCTGGGACTGGTCCAAATGTCCCCATTCCTCCAGGATGAAGGAAACAGCCACATCAGCCACATCTTCAATTTTCACCAACTTCTGAAACATGAGATCTCCACTAAATTCCCATTCCCTATGCTCAAATTTGGAGTGAGAGGAAGAACTGGGAGCTTTAAGGAAAAAAACAGGGGGAGGGACTATGCCTCAAAGAGGATAGGGAAGTACTGGGTAGAAAGGAAAAAGATCACAAAGGAATTAAGAACCAACGCACGATGGGCCTGGTCTCTAGTTAAAGAAACTGAGAATTCCTGATAAAGATCCAGGATTAAGGCTGGTTATTGTCAGAGGAGAGTTATGGATCCTCAATAAAGGCAAAGGGACGCCAGCTCACCTGGGACCCAGCTGAGAGAAGTGAAGCTGTCAGCTCCTGGTCTCTAAGGTTGTCCTTCAAGGAAAGGGAAGGAACTTGGAGAATAGGAAGGGCTAAAGGAGGAGAAAAAGACGTTTAAGTAAGAACATCTCTGCCCAATTCTTATTGCCATCATGCTCCTCATTTGCTTAAGAATCTACAGTGGTCTCCTAATACATCAAGGTCAAATTCTTCCGCTTGGCTCTGAAGGCCCTCTACATTCTGTCCCCTCCCATACCTGCTATTGCCCCCACCTCTAAAAAAAACAAAACAAAAACAGACTCCCTGCTTTGGTCAGGCTAATCCCTCCTGCTAAGCCTTAGACTGTGCTATTCCCCAACATAGGATCCACTCTGCTCTGCCAAGATAAAATCTATTCTTCTCAAAGAAAAACCAAAGTGCCACCTCTTCTATGAAGCCAAAGCATTCCCTATAGCCCAGCTTCTCCAGCCTGAATGTGCAAACAAATCACCAGGATCTTGTTACATTACAAAGTCTGATTCAGTAAGTCTGGGCTGGGACCTGATACCCTGCATTTCTAATAAGCTCCCAGGTGATACCCATCCTGCTGTTCCTTGAACCATACTTTGATCGTTGCTGTTGTTGGCTGCCTTTGATTAGGATTCCTACTCATGGAGACCTCATACACAATGGACAGTTGTGATCCATAGGGTTTTCACTGGCTGATTTTCAGAAGTAGATCGCCAGACCTTTCCTCTTACTTTGTCGTAGTCTGGAAGCTCCAGTGAAACCCATTCAGCATCACAGCAACACAAGCTTCCACTGACAGACGAGTGGTGGCTTAGGTTGAGGTGCATTGGCCAAGAATCAAACCCGGATCTCCTGCATGGAAGGTAAGAATTCTACCAGTGAACCACCACTGCTCTCTACACTTTGATTAGCAAGGCCTTAGTCCACATTCTCTCCCTTCAGGGAATTACTATGGTTGGTTCACAGTCATTCAAGAAATATTTGCCAACTCTTCATGTTATAGGAAGAGGCAACTCTTGCCCTCAAAAATTTTACTGTCTAATGTGGAGGGCAGACATGTACACCTTACTTACTTACAACATAGTGTAAAGAGTACTATAATTGAAGATCACTCAAGTTTCAACAGGAACACCTGCACAGGGGGAGAAGAGGGTGTCAGGAAAGTCTTTCCAGAGACAGTGGCTCTGTGAAGTAGAGACGGGAGGGAAGGAGGATGAGGGTGCTTTCCAAGCAGAGTGAATAGCATGATCCTGGAGGTTCTGACCTCTAGATGCTGATGACCATCTGACCCTCTGATGTCACCTCTGCTTGTCCTTTGTTTAAGGTTCATGGTTCATTCACATATCATTGCCTATGTGTGCCCTGACTTGGAGAGACCGACCTGATATGAACTTTTAACCCCATGATTTTAGAACTTCCTCAGTCCTGGAGATACATGTGCATATGTAGCTTGCTTCTTTCTGATGATTAGGAAATAATGAGCAAAGACACAGAAAGGAGATAATGGTTAAAGAAATGAAAGCTAAACATAGATGGCTAAAGATTCAAAACAGAACTTGAAGAAATAAATGAATATAGTCTATATGTGAGCAAACAGTAATTACGTTGGATAAAGAAACTGGCTAGGGCCTGTCTAACAGAGAAGACAAGAAGCACTTAACAAAAGAAAAAAGAAGCCTGATTTGATAAGACTCTGAAAGCGGAGGGAAGATGACAGTGATTTAAGGGGGTGGGATTCTGGGTTTGAAGAGACCAGTAGTAAAGGAAAGGCAGGATAACCCAGAATGAGTTTAAAGTATAGATTTAGAGTCAGACTCTTTGGCTTGAAATCCCAGCTCGGTTACTCAATACTTTGTGACTCTGGACAAAGTACTTAACCTCTCTAGGCCCAAGCTTCTTAATTTCTAACATGAAGATAATAAAAATACCTATTTCATTGGGTTATTGTGAGAATTAACCTTGGTATATCAACAAATTCTAATGAACACAATTTTAGTTTTGAGTTTCTTTTTTGAGCTATTTTTACTACTTTTAAGAAGCGATATTACATGACGTTCTTTTAGAGGTCTTCTGAACAACAAAAAGAAAATTTATTTTATTATTTTTAAAAAATAGAATAAAACTTACTCTTAAAATTTCTATATGGGGTCCACTGGACCCTTTTATAAATCGAAGATATATTTTGGGATCTGAGTGATCTTATTTTTCCTGTATCTTGAAAAACATTTTTCTTTTATCATCCTAGGAATTATTTCATATTAATTAATTCTTCCCAACCATGCCAAAACAACTAAAGTAATAAGACAATGGAAGAATAATGGGAATATTAGGCATCATGCAATAGTGAAATAAATCATCATTCTTCACTATTCTTACTGCTTGCCCAAAGTACTGCACGTGTTTTTTAAAGTATTGCATTATCCTTCAAGAAGATATAAAAGAACATAGTTGTCAGGGATTGAATTGTATCCCCCAAAAATATCTGTCAACTTGGTTAGGTCATGATTCCCAGTATTGTATGACTGTCTACCATTCTGTCATCTGATGTGATTTCCCTATGTGTTGTAAATTCTATCACTATAATGGAATGAGATGGATTAGTGGCAGTTATACTGATGAGATCTGCAAGATTAGATAGTGTCTTAAGCCAATCTCTTTTGAGATATAAGAGAGAGAAGCAAGCAGAGAGACATGGGAACCCCATACCACCAAGAAAGCAGTGCCGGGAGCAGAGCGCATCCTTTGGACCTGAGGTTCCTGCACTGGGATGCTCCAAGACCAAGGGAAGACTGACGCATCACAAGGACCTTCCTCCAGAGCCGAGAGAGAGAAAGCCTTCCCCTGGAGCTGGCACCCTGAATTTGGACTTGCAGCCTACTGGACTGTGAGAGAATAAACTTCTCTTTGTTAAAGCCATCCACTTGTGGTATTTCTGTTATAGTAGCATTAGATGACTAAGACAATAGTTGACACTTGCTATTAGCTTCTGTTAAACACAGCTGACAATTCAGAGTTTCTCATTTTCTGCCGTATCAGCAAAGAGAAGGAAATTTGCAGAGAAGACATTTCACTATTAGATGAATCCGACGATGAACGCAGAGAGACAGAGAAGAGCATCCTGTCTAATGATAATGATGAGACTGAACGTATAATTAAATCTTAGAATACTGGTCTTCATATGATAATACCCCAGATGAATTTTCTCAACTCAAGAATCAATGATGACTGACATATTTCTAATTTCAAGAAGGCAATCTGGCATTCTCATCCAGTGAGTTCTTCAACAGGAAGGACTTCATCATGCAATATTTTGTGTCAAGATCCTGGACCATCCCATTTTGCTAAAAGGATATGTGACATTATTCTTTCAAATTTTATAATGTTTATGCACCAAAATGTATTTGATACACAGAGGTTTGATTCTTATTAAAATGTCTACAAAAGTTGTTTCTCACTATCCTTTGATTCTTACTTCTGCAAAGTATCATAAAATGACTTAAAAATATAATAAGGAGGATTCACTGGAACCAGATGGTAAATGGTGAGGATTACTTTTGCAGGTACACTGAAGGGTAGATGAGTTCATACAGGAAAAGCACCTGAATAGTTCCTGACACATAGAAAGTGCTACATAAGTGGCGGTCGCTACTGCTGCTGTTGTTCTTGTTATTACTACAGTCAGAGGAAAGCTGGAAAAGGTTAGGGCAGAGGGCATGACAAGGGAAAGACGTGACCACTAACTAGAGTCTAGCAGAAAGTCTGGGGTCAAACAGAGGACATACAGGTCCAAAATCTTCTATTTGGAAATCCAAATGCTTTAAATACCAAAGGGTTTTTTTGTGATTGTTGTTTTTTGTTTTCACTAAGTTTGGCATTGAACTAATTTGACAGCAAAACCTGACCTGAATGGATTTGAAGCTATTAAACTCTTTAATTAATACACTTACTGTAAATGTGCAAATATTTCATTACAGAAATATTAATGTGTTTGATTATGGGGTATAACTCAAATCACGCTACCTTACTATATCTGAAAAATTCTGAGTTCTAAAATATATCTGACACCAAAGGTTTCTGATTAGAGATTTTGGACCTGTGGACATTTATCACAATAAATATGATACTTGCCTATCTTCCTTGATGTATCTAATACAGGTTAATAAAATTTTAAAATACAGAAAGAGAAAGAACATAAATACTCTGAACGTCATTGTGAAGCACTGCTTCAAATGAGATTTCATCTGGCCAGCCAGAAGTGAACACGGTTAGGAACTGGAAGGCCTTTTTTTACATAAATATTAAGAAAACAAAATCTATGAGGTAGAGTTGAAAGAATGTTGCAAAATAATTGTCATACTTTGTAAAGACTCTAGCCGTCCTATAAACTGACTTCTCTCTTAAACCAGTGATTCGACTCCAGATCCCTAGCCCTTCTCAACCTCCACATGCTGCTAGTTGCAGAAAGGCTGCCCCAGCCTAAAGTCTCTCTTTTACAGATACCTCCTACCCACACGGACAGGGGTCCTACTCTCTACCCATGTCTGTTCCACTGAATAACTGATGCTCACCATTTTCCTCCAGTAGATGAGGCTGCTGTGGCTCTTGTCTGGGCTGGCTGTCCGTGGACAGGAGCTGCTCACTGGAGGACTCCTGCACAGCTCCAGGTGGCACCATCTTCTGAGGAAGCACTTCAGGACATGCAACAATCTAACAACCACAACCACAACAAATCACCACAGGTTACAGGGAAGGCTATAAAGGAATCCAGCTGACTTCACGTATTCTTTCATTTAATCCTCCGGCAAATAATTAATGTGTTATCTACAATGAGCCTGGCACGGATTATACAGTGGTTTAATAGACATGGTTTAGGCCTAGTTGGAGAAGACTTTCATTTACTACATCAACACACAAGTAAATATATAATTATGAACTGTGTTACATGTTGGAAAAGGAACACGGTGCCATGGGACTGAACAGCAAATGATCCGCTATAGATTAAAAAGAAAACAAACCCACTGCCGTCTAGTTGATTCCGACTCAGAGCGACCCTACAGGATAGAGAAGAACTGACCCATAGGGTTTCCAAGGAGTGGCTGGTGGGTTCGAACTGCCAACCTTTTGGTTAGCAGCCTAGCTCTTAACCACTACGCCACCAGGGCTCCACTACAGACTACGTGGTTTAAAAAAAAAAAAAAAAAACCGGTTGCTGTTGAGTCAATTCCAACTCAAAGTGACTCTGTCAGCTTAAGAGCCTGAGGTTCTTCTAAGAATGTTGAAGTATCCATTACCCAGAGGAGAAGAATAATGAGACTAGTATCTTACACTGCAATGCAATGGTTCCAAAGAATAAGAGAAATTCTCTAACTAGCTTTGAACTCTTGTAGCCCCATGATCCATGATTTTTATTCCTTTCTTAATAAAAAAAAAAATTAGAGTTTAGGAGAGTGTGAGCCTCACAGAAAGAGGAAGGTAAGGGTCAGGTTATAATGAACGTTTAAGAAACACCTTAAGAAAGACTTGCAGCAGTTTTTCTCCTTTTTAAGTTTCTTTTAAGATTTTAAACTTCAGAATCAATTTTATTAAAAAAATTTTAAACAGTGCATGTAAACATGAGATCTTTGTAGAGTAATTCAACTAGTTTTAGTCCCTCCATTAACCCACTTTTTCTTGTCTCTATACAACTACAAAGTTGATTATGTTTGCAGTTGGAATCTACTGATTAAGGTTTTGATAGAATTTTGATTAGTAAACTGGTGAAGTACCTAAATGGAAATGGAGTCACAGGAAAAGAAAGATCTTGTGCATAAAAAAACTTAGGGACCCCCAAGCCACTGACTAAAATACAGCAAGGCAAACTGTTTGGATTAAACCAAATTCATTCTGAATTTTAAAAGCTGAAACAGGATAAGGCTATCCCAAGGTTTCCAAAAGTCCTGTCATGGGATTTGGTATAAACCTGTAGAAAGTATATGCAAAAGAGAAAAAAAGGGACTCGAGAGCAAAGCCCCGAGACCTTCCACTGGCCAGACGCTCAGTGTGGACTGGGTTTCTATTCTTCTAGTTTTGGTGGACGAGGCATTGTATATGTATGTGGTCAATACTATGGGTTAACTTACTTATTACCTGATAACTAGCTGCCTGGAAGCACACCAGCCATCTTTTGACCTTGAAAACCAATGTCAAGTGCTAAGGAAAGTGAAACAGGGCACTAGAGGAGCCTGATGCCCTCAGGACTTCTCTGAGGAGCTGCACCAGCTGTGGCCTAACTACCTCAAACCTTCAGATAATTCACTAACATGGCTGAGTAAAAAATTCATATACCGAAAACAGTCCCCAAATATTAAAAACGAAAGAGTATAATGGAAGGAAAGACCCTATTTATAACAGCAACGATAACTTAAAGCGCTCCGGAATAAACGTAAGAAAATAAATGAGAGCTATAAGAATAAAACTTTGAAATGCTTCAGAGGGACACATAACAAAACACTTGAACAAATGGAAAGCCCACAATGAAAACAGACAACAGATGCAACAATATAAAGAGATCAATCCTCACTAAATTAATATATGATTTAATGCAATCCCAACAAAAATACCAACAGGATTTTTGGGGTGAGGGAAACTAATTAACTCTAAAGTTCATAAAGAAAAAAGAAAACACTGAAAAAAAAAATTGGAGGGGAGAAGAGTAGGCTACCAGATACCGAACCATTTTACGGAGCTCAAATAATTAAAACACAAATACATGAACAGACACTAAGATAAACAGAACAGAAAGTTCAGAAATAGATACAAATACATGCAAAAATTTGGCAGGTGACATTTTAATAAAACAAAAAAGAGTTATACTATAAAAGCTGCATGGGCAACTGCATAGACATCTGGAGAAAAATTAAGTTGTAATCATCCCAAACACTATACACCAAAATAAATTCTAGATGGATCAGTCATTTAAAAGTGTGAAAAAAAAAAAAAAGAAAAAGGAAAAGAAATGATGAGAAAATTTTTTCATAATACTGAATGGAGAAGGTCTTTCTAAGTATGGCACAAGCCAGAAGCCGTAAGTATAAGTAAGTGATTTAAACTGATTACATTTTTTTTTAAAACCTGCAAAACAATAATCTCCATAAGAAAAAAGAAGCAACAAACTAGAAAAATAACATTTGCAACTTATATGACAGAGGAATTATCTTTTCTAATAGGTAAAGAATATAAACAGATTATTCACAAAAAGGTATACAAATAGCTCTTAAAACTCACTCATAATAAGAGAAATGCAAATTAAAGCTGCACGGAAATGGAATATTTCATCTTTCATACTGGCAAGAATGAAAAAGTTTGATAACATATTGTGTCATCAGGCTGGGTCAAAAAATTCCTCTCTTACAGTGCGGGTGGGAATACAGATCAGTATAACCGCTCTGGAGACCAATCTGTTGACAGCTATCAAAATTACAAATACTTATGGCCTCTGAGCCAACAATTTAACTTCTGAGAATTCATTTTATAATTAATTATGTACGTAAAGGATATTCACTACACTAAAGTTTGTTATAGTAAAAATTTAAAAACAATCTAAAGGAACAGCCTAAGTAGGTGTTCAAAAGGCGTTAAATAATTATGGTACATCTATACAATGGAACATAACGCCCTTTCAAAAACAGAGGCAGCTGTATTTGCACTGACATGGAACAAACCAAGATAAAAGAAAAAAGCAAGAGGCAGAAGTGTATAGTAGTTTAAAAACATTTTTTTAAAGCATATTATATACATATATGCTTATATATACAGAGTACAGTATATCTCTATAAGGATATACAAGATACAAGTATCCATGTAATAGTGGTTGCCTCTGGTGAGGAGAACTAGGCAGCTGGGGCATTAGGAGGTCGGATGGAAACTCGATTTTCATTACAGCCTTATGTACTTCTTGAATTTTGTATCATGCCATTCGAAAACTGAATGTAGTAATTTTAAACACAAATAAATAGAATCACAGATTGTTTTCTCCAGGTTAACACACTGGATATTTCTTCTCTTTGCTGGAATGGCAGGGACTCTCCACAGTGTACCTAATCCCAGGAGAACAAAGGAATACGAATGAAGCACCAGAGGGCTCAAGATCTCATCCCTGCTCAGCAGCTCCTTAACTCTTTCCTCTTTCCTCATTGCTCACTTATCTCCTCTTCAACTCACCTGCTGCCTGCGTTCCTCGAGTTCTCTCTGTATATTTTCTACCACAGCCACAGCCTCTTCTCCGCTTTCCGGGTGATGTTCTCTCACCCAGATCTGGAACTCTTCAGGCAAGATGGTCAGGAACTGTTCCAGCACCAGCAGCTCCAGGATCTGCTCTTTGGTGTGCAGCTCTGGTCTCAGCCACTCACAGCAGAGCACCCGCAGCTGGCTGAGTGCCTCCCGGGGTCCAGATGCCTCATGGTACTGGAAGTGCTTGAAGCGCTGGTAAAAAGTCTCAAATGTCGGTGGACTGTACTCCTGCATCCAGGTGCAGTCTTCTTCTTCCACTTTCACTATTCGAAGGTCTTCCTGCTCCTGCGAAGTCTGAGCTGGAGGGTCTAAGTCTATAACTTCCCGGGATTCTGTCATTATCATTCCCACTCAGAATAATCAAATTTCTTTTGAGCTATTTAAGATCTTCTGAAGGACACCTTCAGTAGTGTGTAACCTACTGATACATTGAAAATCATTATTAGCAAAGCGAGATGACAAAGTGGTCATCCACACGGAACAGAGTAATTTACTTAAAAATACGGACTACAAGGTAGCCATCATCCATCTACAAAATGATTATCAATAGAGCCTACTTCCAATATTTACAAATTTTAAAGGAGAGCCATAAAATCGGACATCTGGCCCAACTAAAGTATACTTTTAAGAGGTGAAGAACGGTTACATTTCAGATAAATAACGGAACAAGATTTACTAACTAGTCCAGACGCAGCTGCTCCTTCTCTCTACCGTAAGTCAAACTTAAGTCAGAAAAGGGATCAGAAACATTACAATGTTCAAAATTGGCCCTGTCCTTCAAGCCACAAGAGCCTGACAGACGAACGGGAGTCTTCATTGGTCCCGAAGAGAAGCAGGGATACAGGTACCGATTTGGACTTAGATTCCTTGGAACCCGCGTCCGGACACAAACCCCCTTTCCCTCAGCTCAGTCCCGGGGAACTCTCCTGGAAGATCAGGCTCCACGTAGCCGAGGCTGAGAAGACAGATCTCTTATAAACAGAGAAAACCGAAGCTGACACTTCCCACCACTTCCTCGCCGGAAGTAAGCAAGTCCAGTCCTTCCCAAGCCAACTGGGTTGAGCCATAAATCCCACCCCCGAGAACACTTCCGAGTCCTCTCTAGGAATCCCGGAGGTCCTGGTCTCGCAGCGGGAAGGAGATGCCCGCCCGGCTCCGCCCCGGAGGGGCGTGTTCTCCAATCAGCCGGGAGGTGGGACGAGAGGCTGGGATTCCCATCCTACCTCCCGTAATGGTGTCGTTCCCCGGTCCACCGAAGCCACAGGTTCTGCGTCACTAGAGCGGAAAGTAAAATTGAGAAGGAAAACAATGCCATTTAAACAACCTGACTTCCTCCCCTTTACTTGGAGTGGAGGCAGGGGGCGGGGCCTCAGGTGTCTGGAATGGGTCGCCGAGGCAACAGTTGCTAGTGTCTGATTGGCCGTGGAACTTGCGTCTTCCACCACCCCCCGCCCGCCGCAACGATCTGCGCCCTAATTTAGTAATACGCTATTCGAAGTAGGTTCGTACCTTTCTGCAAGCCGGCAATCCTTACCTATCTTTAATTTGGGACCCTTCGGTTTTTCAGCCCAACCCTCCTCACTCCCCGTACCCCCTCCCCAAACACTCCCACCACCTTATCACTTACCTAACCACTTGCTGCAGTCAGTTCACAGGGCCGAAATCTACGTCAAAACCGCCAGTCGCAGGGATCAGAGGCTCCCAGGACTACAACTCCCAGAAAGCCCCGCGCAGTCCAAGCCTGTTAGCCAATCTAGCCGCGTGTCTCTTTCTAGCGTCGGTCCTGCGGACCTATCAGAATGCGGTAGGGCAAGGAGGCGTGGCCTCGGCACTTAGGCCTGAAAGATTCGCGTGGTGTGGAGCGGGTTCCCCTCTGGCTGCGGAGAGTCGGGTCAGAAGTCCCGCGTTCATGCGGGTATAGTGGAATCATTTTTGCAGGGGTCTTTTAGCCAAGAGGTTTCCCATCCTTAATAATTTCTTATCCTCATATGGTGCTTTACGTTTTTCCAAGTCCTTTGCCGTTTACATAGATGTTCGATAGACAGGACAGAGTTACTATCGCCACTCTTACACATCACGAAAATGAGGCTCAGAGAAACAAATGCTGTGGAATTTCAGCATCTGCAGACAGATGAGATGGCAATTACGAGTTGTTTTTGTTGTTAGGTGCCGTTGAGTCGGTTTTGACTCAGAGCGACCCTTATGTACAACAGAAAGGAAACTGGCCGGGTCCTGCGCCATCCTTAAATCGTTATGTTTGGGCCCTTTGTTGCAGCCACTGTCAATCCATCTAGTTGAGGGTCTTCCTTTTTTTCGCTGCCCCTCTACTTTACCAAGCTTGATGTCCTTCTCCAGGGACTGGTCCCTCCTGATGACATGTCCAAAGTATGTGAGATGAACTCTTGCCATCCTTGCTTCTAAGGAGCATTCTGGCTGTACTTCTTCCAAGACAGATTGTTCTTCAGGCAGTCCATAGTATTATTCAGTATTCTTCGCCAACACAAGTCTCTTTTTGAGGTGCCTAAAATCATACATTTTAGGTAGCTTCCTATCTAGGACCAAACCCCTGGTAAATGTGTTTTTGTTGTTAGTTGCCCTGGAGGTTGCTCCCTACGCTTGGCGACCTTATGTATAATAGAATGAAACTATTGCCTTGACCTGCACCATCTTCATGATCATTGGTATGTTCCAGTCCATTGTTTTGGCTATTGTGTTAATTTATCTCATTGCAGGTTTCCCTCCTTTTCACTGACCCTCCACTTTACCAACCATGATGTCCTTTTCTATCGACTGGTTTTTCCCCTGGTGATGTGTCCAAAGTGAGAAAGCCGAAGTCTTGCCATCCTAGGTTGTAAGGAGCATTCTGGTTTTATTTCTTCTAAGACTGGTTTGTTCATTCTTGTATTTTTTGTGTTAGTGAATTGGCATGATAGCATTAAAAAAAAAAAAATCTACGAGGGGTATGGTGATAGAATTCTGACACTGGGCTTAATTTTGATGCTCTTATTGCATTAAATTAGTTGTTTAACGTATATAAAATTTGTCTAAGTATTACCTACTTTTTTCTAATATACCTCCTTTTAAGTGACTTATAAATGCTCTTTTCATTAATTTTTTTTTAAATTTAGGGACAAATATAAGACCACTATTATAAGAACTCAAGAAAATGTTTAAACACAGACGAAACCATTCTTTGATGGTTATGAGGGTAGGGAGGGAGAGAGAGGGTTATTCACTAACTAGAGAGTAGACTAGAATTATCTTAGGTGAAGGGAAGGACAGCACACTTTACAGGGGAAGTCAGCACAACTGGACTAAACCAAAGCTAAGAAGTTTCCTGAATACAACCAAATACTTTGAGGGACAGAGGAGCAGGGGCGGGAGTCTGGAGACCATGATTTCAGGGGACATCTAGGTCAACTGGCATAACAAAGTTTATTAAGAAATGTTCTGCATCCTACTTTGGTGAGTGGCGTCTGGGGTCTTAAAAGCTAGCAAAAGGCCATCTAAGATGCATCAATTGGCCCCAACCCACCTGGAGTAAAGGAGAATGAAGAACACCAAAGACACAAGGAAAGTATTAGCCCAAGAGACGGAAAGGGCCACATAAACCAGAGACTGCATCATCCTGAGACCAGAAGAACTAGATGGTGCCTGGCTACCACCAATGACTGCCCTGTCAGGGAACACACAGAGAATCCCTGACGGAACAGGAGAAAAGTGGGGTGCAGAACTCCAATTCTAGTAAGAAGACCAGAATTAATGGTCTGACTGAGACTGGAGGAATCCCAGAAAGCATGGGCCCTCGACTCTCTGTCAACTCAGAACTAAAACAATTCCCGGGGCCAACTCTTCAGTCAAAGATTAGACTGTACTATGGGACATAAAATGATACTCGTGAAGAGTGTGCTTCTTAGCTCAAGTAGATACATGAGACTAAATGCGCAGCTTTTGTCCGAAGGTGAGATGAGAAGGCAGAGAGGGTCAGTAGCTGGTTGAATGGACACAGGAAATGAGGGGTGGAAAGGAGGAGTGTGCTGTAACAGTATAAGGAGAGTAATTAGTATGTGTAAATTCTTCTATGAGAGACTAACTTGAATTGTAAACTTTCACTTAAAGTACAATAAAAATAAAAAATAAATTTCATTTATTTCTTAACTAGATAATGCAGTGCACGATTCAATATTCAAGAGCATACAGAAGTCTCTCCCATCCTTGTTTTCAACCACCCCCTTTCTCTCCCTAGAAATAGCCTAGATGACTAGTTTCTTATATACCTAACCAGATATATTCCATGGATATTCAAGCAAATGTTATATTTTATGTGTAAATAGTAGCACAATTTATATCCTTTCTCTCTCTTATTATTTTCACTTAATAAATCTTGGAGATTTTTCCCTATCAATAGATAAAGAGTTTTCTTGTTCTTCCTGTCTTCAGGGTATACCATTATCTGAGTATACTATATTTAATCCTTACTGATGGGCATTGGCTAAGAGCACTGGTGGCACAGTGGTTAAGTGCTCAACTGCAATCAAAAGGTTGATGGTTTGAACATACCAGCCACATCATGGAAGAAACTGCCCTATGGGGCGTTCTCCTCTGTCCTATAGGGTCGCTATGAGTCGGAATCAACTTGATGGCAATGGATTTGGTTTTGGTTCTGGTCCTGGTTCTGGTGAGCATTGAGGCCCCTGGGTGGTACAGCCTGTTTATGATCAGTTACTAACCTATTTGAATCCACTCAGCAGTGCCATAGAAGAAAGGCCTGACAATCTACTTCTGTAAGATTACAGGCATTGAAAACTATGGAGTACAGTTCTACTGTGACACACATGGAGTCATCATAAGTCAGAATCAACTTGACGGCAAGAGGTTTTGTTTTGCTTTGGTGGGCATTAAAGTTATTTCTTTTTTCCTTTTTGTGCTTGTGGTGCGATGGATCGCTTTTGTGTGGCTTTCTCACCATGGTCTTATAACTCCCACCCAAGTGATTGGGTGGGACTGTGCAAATAAGATAACTGTGGACCACCAAAGGGATTGGTCAGTTTGCCTTAAAAGAGAGCCAATCCCAGAGCAGAGAGAGGATCCCACCACCACCGAAGAAGAATGGCCAGGACAGAGAGTGCGTCTTTTGGACCCGGGATCCCTGTGCTGAGAAGCTCCTGGACCCAGGAGACAGAGTGAACTGTAACCCTGAAGATGGTGAGAAGTGGTGGCACAGAAACAGCAGCAGGAGAGACCAGCAGGAGATGGTGCAGTAGGCTTCCTGGCCCATGAAGTAAGAAAGCCGAGTGCCAGTAAGAAAGCTGAGTGCCTTTGGGACAAGGCTTACTGGTGGAGTGGGGTGCCTCTGGGCACTTATCCACAGGGGCTAAAAGAGCTTTGTAACACTTGCCTGAGCAGGGTCGAGGCCTAGGGCCAGAGAGAGGGGTGCCTGCGAGCACAGCTGAAAAGAGGCTGTCCTGATGGAAGAACTGTATCCTGACTGCTCCTGAGCTTGAATTATAACCCGTTACTTCCCTAATAAACCCCATAATTGTTAAGTATTGTCTGTGAGTTATGTGTGGCCATTTCAATGAATTATAGAACCCAGCAGAGAAGTAGAGAGTGCCACGGGAGGGACGTTTGGTGTCAGAATTGGTAAAGATGGTGGAGAGAGGAGGCATGTCTTACTTCTGCCTCATAGGAATCAGCCTTGGGCTGTTGATCCTGATTCTCTTTCCCCCTTGTGAAGTTAGAGGAGGTCAGACACCGACTCCATGCCGGTTTTACAGGGCTATAACAAGCAATGCTGCAGTATGTAAATAATCCTGTATATATGTCATTTTAGACATGCGCTCGTGTATGTGTAGGATAAATTCTTAGAAGTTGCTGAGTCAAAGGGTAAGATATATACTATATATGTATGTATATATTTATTTATTTGTATCTTAAGTAGATGATACACTGCATGTAAAGGCTAAGATATATATATATCTTTGTTGTTCTCAGTACCATCGAATCAGTTCTGACTCATAGTGACCCTATAGGACAGAGTAGAACTGTGCCACCAGGGCCCCAATCTATATATATATAGGTAGATCTATGTCTATAAAGATATATATGGAGCCCTGGTGGCGCAGTGGTTAAGAGCTTGGCTGCTAACCAAAGGGTTTGCAGTTCGAATTCACCAGCTGCTCCTTGGAAACCCTATGGGGCAGTTCTACTCTGTCCTATAGGGTAGCTATGAGTAGGAATTGACTTGACGGCAATAGGTTTTTATGGGTTTATATATAGATATATATTGATCTATGTATATAGGTCTATATCTATAAAGATATAGCCTTTAAATCATGCAATGTATTATCTGCTTAATACACACACACACACACACACACACACACACACACACACATACATATGTACATATCTTACCCTTTGACTCAGCAACTTCACTTCTAAGAATTTATCCTATGCTTATGGGGCCCTGGTGGTACACTGGTTAACTGTGTGGCTGCTATCCAAAAGGTCGGCAGTTTGAATCCACCAGCTGCTCCTTGGAAACCCTATGGGGCAGTTCTATAGTCCTATAGGGTCGCTATGAGTCATTATCAACTTGATGGCAATGAGTTTAGTTTTTATATATACATGTATATATATAGTATATATATGACATATATATATTCATTCTTTGATCTAACTAGATAAATGTCCTAGATAACATAATGTTTTAGTTATCTAGTGCTAGTATAACAGAAATACCACAAATGGGTGGCTTTAACAAACAGAAATTTATTTTCTCACAGTTTAGGAGGCTAGAAGTCCAAATTCAGGGTGCTGTTTCTAGGGGAAGTCTTTCTCTCTCTGTTAGCTCTGGAGGAAGGTCCTTGTCTCTTTTACCTTCTGCTCCTGGGCAATCTTCATGTCGCTTAGCATCTCTCTTCCCCCATCTCTGCTCTCTCTCTTGCTTGTTTAATGCCCTGTTACTGCCTAATCAAAACAGACCACAATGATAGAGACTATTATGCCCTCTTAATTGGTAAAGCCTGAAACAGGGCTTGACTAACTTGGCTTTGCACAACTTTTGGTTAAATAATAAGTTTATAATTTAAACTTTAGCCCATAGATATGTCATATGGAATTCTGACCTACCTGGGACTTTGTGTTCATAAATCAGGACATTAATTGTATTCATTTAAGTAGACAATGATTTTATCTAGAACATAAATTATTGTTGTTGTTAGGTCCCATTGAGTTGGTTCCAACTCATAGCAACCCTATGTACAACAGAACGAAACACTATCCGGTCCTGTGCCATCCTCACAATCGTTGCTATGTTTGAGCGCACTGTTGCAGCCACTATGTCAATCAATCTCGTTGAGGGTTTTCCTTTCTTTTTTTTTTTTTGCTGACCTTCTACTTTACCGAGCATGATGTCCTTCTCCAGGGACTGGTCCCTCTTGATAATGTGTCCAAAGTGCGTGAGATGAAGTCTTGCCATCCTTGCTTCTAAGGAGCATTCTGGCTGTATTTCTTCCAAGACAGATTTGTTTCTACTTCTGGCAGTCCTTGGTATATTCAAGATTCTTCACCAACACCAAAATTTAAAGGCATCAATTCTTCTTCAGTCTTACTTTTTCATTGTCCAGCTTTCTTATGTATATGAGGCAACTGAAAATACCATGGCTTGGGTCAGGCATACTTTAGTCCTCAAAGTGCCATCTTTGCTTTTGAACACTTTAAAGAGGTCTTTTGCAGCAGATTTGCCCAATGCAATATGTCATTTCATTTCTTGACTGCTGCTTCCCTGTGTACTGATTGTGGATCCAAGTAAAACAAAATCCTTGACAACTTCAATATTTTCTCCATTTATCATGATGTTGCTCTAGAATGTATAACTTAGGTAATTCTTCACTTATTAAGTAATGCAAATGATTTAATGTTAATGCTAAACTAATGTATATTATTCTTTATTTCAATTAGATGATTTATTTTCCGGAATATTGTTGAAACATAAATGGATATAAAACATGTAAAAGATGTTTATTGTATTTTTATTCTATGTTAGGTTTTTTGAAGCAAGGAAAAAAATCTTCCACCATTAAGTAGCTAGATTATTACCTGCTTCTGACTTCACTGAAGACATGGAATCAAAAGGTTCATCTATCTCCATGATACTTAAATACATCTTTGGTACTGTATATTTTCAAATATCTTGTGATTAAGAGTTATAGTCACGTATAATAGGGTCAAAATCAAATCATCATAAAATACTTAAAAATGAAGTGAAAACATGACCAAAATTACAATTTATCACTTACTTCTGTTGCAAACCAAATTAAGCCTGTTTCAAAAGCATGGAGGCATGATGCCTGCCTGAGGTGCCTCATCCCTCCCACAATTTCCTCTGGGTGCAACTCTGCATCTCCTCTCTCACAAAACTTATAATGGTACAAGGGAACTGCAATATAAATAAGGAAAGAATTTAAAATATGCTATAGTTATTATATAGGTACACAATATTTCAATTCCTGGAGCCTTGTTTTTCACCAATGCCCTCAGTGCAGCTTGGACTTCTTCCTTCAATACCATCGCTTTTTTATCATATGCTACCTCCTGAAATGGTTGAACATCGATCAATGGTTTGGTAGAGTAACTCGCTGTGTATACCTTCCATCTTCTTATGTTTCCTGCATCGTGCAATATTTTGCCCATAGAATCCTTCAAAATTGCAACTTGAGGCTTGAATTTTTCCTTCAGTTCTTCAGTTTGTCTCTCTTAGAGTACCTCTGGAAGGAAATGCATAAAACCGGTCACAATGAGGTGTGGGAACAGCATCAGAGGTGGGAGAGGATTTACTCTTTATGGCATGCTCTTCACTTTCGGATCTTTAACATTTGAATTATGTGTAAGTTTTACCTATTCAAAATAATTAATGCCCCCACTTAACCATTTGCTTTGCAGTTTGAGAGAAAAATGTATCTTTGTCCTACTTATGTCCATTATTTTTCACTTTCAGTTTTTTTTTTTTTTTTCATTTTATCCTGAAGACCTGATTAGTGTGACAGGGACAACTGAACTATCCACACATCAGGTACTTTGAGGGAAAAAAAAAAAAAACTGTTAAATTATTTTATTTCTAGTAGAATAACAGATAGATAAATTTTATGCACCTTTTTTAAAGGTTTACAATTTTATCATTTCAAAAGATAGCTAATTTCTTTCCCCAAAACCATAACATCATAGAGATTTGTGCTGGAAGGTGCATGCAGAGTCCATAACAAAGCTTTTGTCTTCCAGAAAAGCAACAGGTATACTGTACTGCCAGTAAATCCAGTATCAAGATCTAAGACTTACTGAATTCACAAGGGAGATAGTGGTTATTTGCATTACTGTGACAGCTTCTATTACTTCTTCTCAGGTTTCCTTTCCCTTCCAGCCCTGGCCGTGGTTTACTGTGATAAAATCCCACAGACTTTGGACTCAGGCATGTGATTTGGTTTGGCCAATGGAATGTGAGTGTGCATATGTCATGACTGACTGGAGACTGGCCATGTGCTTGCATGGTCCGGTTTGCTGCTCCTGTGTTACATCATGAGAAGAGCATGCCCTGGATACCTCCCACTGCTTCAATCTGGGTCCTGGAATGAGACATGTAAGTACCCCTGAATCTGACCCATAGCCTGAAGTGGAGTCACCTTAGCCAATCTGCTGACCTATGAATTAAAAGTATTTTGTTGTAATCCACTGAGATTTTGAGGTTATTACAGCAGGAACTAATTTACATTAAAAAATAATCTTTACCTTAAAAAAGATTTTGCTTCAATGTTTGTGTAACAATCTGTCTCTGTCTCATCTATACACTTTATCTAATTTGGGTCTAATATTTTCCTGGGAGATAAAAATCTAACTCCCTTTATTGCAGCATAAACTCCATGAGGTTTAGTCCCAGTTGACCAAAAACAAAATTTACCAAATTTTATTCACAGTATTTTAAAGAAATACATGCATCTATTTCATAAGTAAGAGACAACTATTGATTACTTTATTCTCTGTGGGAAACTTTAGTTAGAAGTCCTACTCATTGGTCTGATTGATGAAAAATTCCATAAATTAAGGTACGTCTTGCATTCTTATTAGTTTTCCATCATCTATTTTGAAATATGTATAGGGAGTAAGATTTCAATGGCTCTTTCAGTTACTCACTTTAGTGCTTCTCAAACTTCTGTGATGAAAGACTAGTTTTTCATTTTCTAAACTGTATAATATAAAAAAAAAATGAATCACTAGAAAGAAATATTGGATGTTTCTCTAATTTTCAGTTATGAGATTCAACAAGCATAAATTACTCTGTGAAATTGTTATACACGTTTCTGAAAGATTACACTCCATTTCAGTACTTACCTTTACTGGTAACAAACAGTTCTAGGACCAGTACAGGAGAGTAGACCACACTTTAAGTAACCCTGATATATTTCAATTGTCCTTCATTGTTGGTTCGTCCTTTTGAGACTGAATTTCACTGTGTACTTATGTTTGGGGGTTTCAACTCTTCTATTTAAAAAAAAAAAACCTGTTTCCAGCAAGTCAATTCAGACTCATGGTGACCCCACGTTACAGCTGCTGGGTAGGGGTGGGTTTGAACCACCAACCTTTTGGTTGACAGTGGAGCACAAACTGTTTGTACCACCCAGGGACCCTTAACTCTTCTCTATACTTTATCTAATTTCGCTGTAATATTTTCCTGGAAGATAAAAATCCAACCTCCCATATTTCAGAATAAATCCCATGAAGTCAGAATTACAACCATACCTTGTGTGATCCACATTTTTATGTATCATATCCAAATTAATTAGGTGTGCCTAAGAATTTGGACTGTCTGCAGAACATGGGACAATTTCACAGAGGAAGAGGAGAGGCAGTGGAGCTTTCTCCCGCAAATCCTTCCTGATCTCCTGATTTTCTCTTTCCTAGGTAACCAGTGCTCCACCCTCCTACCCCCCAACTTCACGCAAGTACCATAAGGGCACGAACCACGTCCTATTCCTCTACTATAGCCTCAACAGCGATGGATGCTCAGTAAATATTTCTTGGGCAACTGATGACTGAAGACTCACTGTGTGCCCTGCACTGTGCTAGGGAGGTGTTGTGGAATATACCAACAATACATAAAATTCGACTTACAGCTTTTCTGGGAGTAAAAGCCCAGTAGGTAGTCAGATATGTTTCTTGAATGAATGAATGAACGAACCAGGCTACTTTAGCCAAAAAATATTAGAATAAAGGAACACTGTAGCAGTAGAAAGCCCTGAGTGTTGAAGTTTGAAAATGGGCATGTTGGTCTCATTCACCACGTAACCAGCGGCTTGACGCTGGGGAAGACACAAGCGTTTTGAGCCTCAATTTACTCACCTTTGTTAGGATCAAAAGTGATAGCCTCTGACGTACGTGGAAGCGCTTAGTTAAACAAATTATTTTTCCTCCCAACCCTAAAATTAGCCAGTCATTTTCTTGAGCTGCAAGAACCACCCCAGGACAGGCTGCCGCCAGTGCGGCAAGTATGGTAAATCAACGATGTGCATCTCACGCCTCCGGGATGCCTAGAGAGGCCGGGTAAATGCCCAGGGAGTCGACACCACAGAGAATTGATGACGCACTTCCGGCCTGAGTTACTTTTTGGTCACGTGAGTAAAGGGTTTCTAGGCGGAACAGAGGTAGAAAGGAGTCCAGGAAAGGAGCCAGGGAGGGTGGGGCCCTGTGTTTGGTACAGGACAACACTGCATTTGTGTTCTGGGGAGGTCCGATGAGTTACTTGGCTTTTTTGCAGGATTTGTTGTTTTCTCACTTAAAGGCAGAACTGGACAGCCAGCACATGCCAAAGAAAAATGAGTTCGATCTTGACCGCCCAGAGGCGCGGGAATGACGCTGGGGCAGGGGACAGGAGCATGGCTGCGAGGTCCGCTACGCCCCTGCGTGATGGACTTTTGATAGTGAAAGTGGAGGAAGACCCACCCGGAAGTCAGGAATCCGACCAGCCCGGGGACCATGAGGACCCAGAAACTTTTCGACAGCTGTTCAGGCAGTTTCGTTACCAGGAAGTGGCTGGACCTGTAGAGGCGCTGAGCCGGCTTAGGGATCTTTGTCGTCAGTGGCTGAGGCCTGAGATGCGCACCAAGGAGCAGATCTTGGAGCTGCTGGTGCTGGAGCAGTTCCTGAACATCCTGCCCGAGGAGACCCAGGCCTGGGTGCGGGAGCACTCTCCGGAGAATTGGGAGGAGGCTGCGGCTGTGGTGCAGGCTTTTCAGAGAGCACTTGATGGGACCGCACCGCAGGTGAGAAGTGAAAGACCTCTGGGTGGTGAGAATGTGGACAATAGAGGTGTATGGGATGCTGTGAGCTTCAGATGTTCATTCCTTCCTCCTTACATTTTACTTGAGGATGTGCTTGGAAATTTCCTTTCCATAGGAAAGAGCGACAGATCCATCCAGGAAGTGCTCCCTGAGTTGCAGACCCTGCAGGACAAAACCAACTCGGGATTAGTGTTTACTCATTTTAAGACAAGCTGTTGTTTTACTAGATTATTTGGGAAAGAAGGATGTCAGGGTATTTCTGCTATGGAAAGTGGACTCATGTCTTTAAACTACTTAACGCTAGAACAGCAATTCCTCGCCACTTTGAATGAGGATCCCTTTTACTTTTTTAACAGTTTGGCGACCCCCTCCTGCTCCATACTGACAGTGGAGATAATTAAATATTTAAAACTCATTGCCGTGGAGTTGACTGGATATAGTGTTAAGACACTGGCAGAAATGTGTGATCTTGGTTCATTGCTGTATATCAGTTACTTGGACTTTTCATGGATCATCTTTCATATTTCTCCACATAACTCCATATCACTCCTGCACTAAAACCAATAAATAAATAAAATGGACATTTTGTTATATAGGAATCAACACCACTGAACATTTGATCAGAATTCTCCGATTCTGGGTTTAAAAGTGGGAAGAGAGGAATGTCAGTTGGGTTAAGTGGCAGATTGACTTTATTAGCTGTAGGGTTTCCGTCCTGACACCTGAGGACTCCCAGTACTTTGTTTGAAAAGCATTTCTCTGAAGATTCCCTTTGTGTCTTTTATGTAGTTTCTGAACACTGACCAAATTGAAAGTAAGTGTTCATTTATGTCACTGCAGCATGTTGTTAGGTTTTATTTTTAATTATATGAGTTCCTGGGTGGCACAAAGGCTAAGTGCTGTACTACCAACTGAAGGTTGGTGCTGCAAACCCATGTGGAGGCACCTTGGAAGACAAGCTTGGCGATCTGTTTCCGAAAGGTCACAGCCTTGAAAACCGCATGGAGCAGTTCTACTCTGCATAATTGGGGTTGTCATGAGTTGGAAACGACTCGACGGCAGCTAACAAGAAGAATGAAAGTTAGTGGTGTGTATAATCTAAAAGTTGCTAGTATTTGCCATTAGAATATAGCTTTTTGCAGCAACAATTTTAGACTAATAAAATTTTGTAGCTAAAAAATATCTTAGTGATGCCACCCTCTCATTTTAAAGAGGGCTCTGAAAGAGAAACTGTTCCATGCCTCTCTCCTAGCTTCTGGCACCTCCAGGCATTCTTTAGCTTGCAGCTGCAGCATCACATGGTGTCCTTCCTCTGCCTCCCTGTATCTATGTATTTTTTCCTCTTTTATATAGATACCAGTCATATAGCATTAGTACCTACCCTGTTAACCTAACTTACAACATCTTCAAAGACCCTACTTCCACACAGGGTCACGTTCACAGGTACAGGTGTTAGGACTTCAGCATATCTTTTTGGGGGACACAGTTCAGTCCATAACAGGGTTTTTAATAGGGTCTATGAAGGTACCTTCAGTCTTTCAGTGATTCCTTCTCACCTTCAAACAGCAGAGCCCATCACCCACCATCTCTTGTTTACGTGAGGTTAAAATGTACAGAAAACACTCAAAACCCACTATAATTTGTGAGATATGATACCAGGAATTGTGGAGAGTGCTAATAGGAGTAAAAAGCCCTCCTGGATTCCCTCCTACATATCATATGAGCAGGAATCAGAAGGCCAGCTTCCTCCTTGCATTTCTAGTGGCTTCAGCTGTGTATACCCTTCCTTAGAATTTGGCTTCATGCCACTCCTTCCTAAATTCTAGCTGAAGTTACAGAATGTTAGATTGCTGCAAGTTAGATTACGACTGTAACAGTAAGAATGAAGTTGGAAACCAAGAGTCAACCATGCCTGAATCTCAGTATTTCTTCTCTTAGACTTTTCCCAGCTAGACAATATGGTATAATGATTAAATGCATGAATTCTGAACCCAGTCACCTGGATTTGAATCCTTATTCTCTACTTACTAACCATAGAACCTTAGACAAGTTGAAAAAGTCTTCTAAATTATTCTGATACTTTACCCTTTCCTTCCTAATCCCCCTCCTTTTATTTTAGAAATGGCAGGACTTCAGACGAATGGATGGACTGTATATCCTTCTAGAGATTCTCTACAAATACTGCTGTTTCTCCTAATAGGGCTTTTAATAAACTAGCCAGCCATTAGTTTATAATTATAGATAAAGCAAGTCCCTGGAAAGGAGAGACGCAGTTGCAAATTAAGTGTGGACATCCTACTTGAAAAGTAGCCAGAAGGCTTCATGTCTCTACATGGAAGGAAGATGGCTGACCTAGTGCCTTTAGTCAGGGATAAGACTGTGTCCACTCCAGTACAAAGACAAATGAAGGATCAAAATATCCAAAAATTCTATACCTTAGATCAATGGTTCTCAACTGGGAGTGATTTTCCCCCTAGGGTACATTTGGCAATATTAGAGACATCTTTGGTTATCACACTTTGGGGGTGTGTTCTGGCATTTAGTGGGTAGAGGCTAGGCATGCTGCTAAACATCCTGTTATGTACAGAACATCCCCCCAGTGAGGAGCAGAAAGCAGTGGAAGGACAACGTGATGCTGCAGCTGCAAGCCAAGGAATGCTGGGAAGCCCCAGAAACTAGGAGAGAGGCAGGGAACAGTTTCTGTTTCAGAGCCCTGAGAAAGAGTCAAGATGGCCAATACCCTGATTTGGCCCCCAGAACTATGAGACAATAAATTTATAGCCTCCAGAACTAGGAAAATAAATTTCTGTTCTTACAAGGCGCCTACTTTGTGATATTTGTTACAGCAGCCCTAGGGCACCAATATAGGCCCCTTCCCTGTCAGTGAGCAAGGGTCAGTTTGTGACCCATCACTGGGAGCTGGACAACCATCTACTTCACCAGTTTTGGAACTTCCTTTTCTAATAATTGTGGCTTTTAACTTTTGTGAAAAGTCAACCTACATTCAAAGAAGCCATCTCAGAAGATCATCTTGTTTGCCACATCCTAAGACTAGTAGTAGTGTTATCCTGGGACTGTTGGTACTGAATAGGGATCTTGTGTTGTTTCAGGGGTTGGTGACATTCAAGGATGTGGCTTCGTCTTTAACCTGGGAGGAGTGGGTGCATCTGGACCCAGCTCAGAGGATCTTCTCCAGGGAGAGTACACAGAAAGATTATGGGAATACAATCTTGCTGAGTAAGTACTGTTACTTGCTTAATTATAACTGTGCTTAGTTTATGAAGGGCTTGGGTCACTATTTTGGAGTTTGATCCCAGAACCAGTCTGACATTCACAGACACAGGGTGAGAGCTTTAGAGTCTCTTGTAGCCCAAGCAGGACTTTCTGTTTTGTATTGCTAGGTGATAGATTCAGTTTTTCATTTTGGTTCTTTTTTTTTTTTTTTGTGGTAAATAACAAAACATTTGCCATTTCAGCATTTTTTACATGTACAATTCAATGGCGTTAATCATGTTCATTTTTTTTCAACATTATACAAATGGCCAACAAGCACATGAAAAGATGTTCAGCATCGTTAGTCATTAGGGAAATGCAAACGAAAACCACAGTGAGCTATCACTTCACATCTACTAAGATGGCTATGATTATACCACTCTCTGTTATCAAAATTTTCCATCTGCTAAACAGCAGCTCAGTGTCCTGTAAGTAATGAGTCCCTCTTTCCCCCTCCCTTGTGCCTATACCTGGTAACCACTAATAAACTATACAGATGTTTTATGTCTTACATTTAGGTCTTTGATTGATTTGAGTTACTTTTCTTACATGGTGTGAGTTATGGGTCCAAGGTTATTCTTTTGTTTGTGGAAATCCAGTTGTGCCAGCGCTATTTATTAAAGAAACTATTCTTTTCCCATTGGATGGATTTAACACCTTCTCAAAGATCAGTTGACCAGAGATGTGCAAGTTTATTTCTGGACTCTCTATTCCATTTGTTTATATGTCTTATCATTATACCAGCACCAGGCAGTTTTGATTACTGTAGCTTTCCTTTTTTGTATAGTTATCAGATGTTTTCTTTGTGGTTTTCATGGGGATTACATTTAACATCCCAAGTTTATAACAACTAGTTTAAATTGACACCGACATAACTTCAGTAATATACAAACACTCTGTTCCTGTATTGCTCCTGCTTCCTTTATGTTGTTTTTATCATAAATGACATCTTTATACATTGTATGCCCAAAAACATAAATTGATAACTTTTAATGCATTTATCTTTTAAATCATGTAGGACATAACATGTAGAGTTACAAATGAAAAATACGATAAAGCTCGCCTTTATATTTGCCCATGAAATTACCTTTACCAGAAATTTTTTTTCTTTGTACAACTTCAAACTGTTGTTTAGTGTCCTTTCCTTTTAATATGAAGGATTCCCTTTAGCATTTTTTATAGGTCAGATGTCTTAGTCATCTCATGCTGCTGTTACAAATACCACAAGTGGGTGGCTTTAAAGCACAGAAATTTATTTTCTCCATTATTCTGGAGGCTAAAAGTCCAAATCAGAGTCTCGGCAGTGCTAATTCCTTCCTTGTTAGTAGCCCTGGGTGTTCTTGGTTCTTCGGTAATCCGCACATGGGCTTCTGTCTTCCCCAGTGTGTGCATGCGCCTGTGTCTATTCTGCTCTTTTTATAACTCAGAAGTAATTAGGTTCAGGATACACCGTACACTGATATAGCCTCATTAATAGAATAAAGAAGACCTTATTTTCAAATAAGAGTATGTTCACAGTTATAGGGGTTAGGAGTCCAGCACATATTTTGGGGGAACACAGTTCAATCCATAACAGCAGGTCTTGTAGTCATGAACTCCCTCAGCCTTTGTTTATGTGGGAATATATTAATTTCACCCTCATTTTTGGAGGACAGGTTTGCTGGTTATAGAATTCTTGGTTGACAATTCTTTTCATACTTTAAATATGTCTTCCGACTGCCTTCTGGCCTCCTTGGTTTCTGAGGAGAAATGAGCATTTAATCTAATTGACAATCCCTTGTGTGTGGCTGCTTTCAAGATTCTCTATCTTTGGTTTTTGAGAGTTTGATTATAATGTTCTTGATGTTGATCTCTTTAGGTTTATCTTGCTTGCAATTCCTTGACCTTTTAGGATGTGTAGGTTCATGTCTTTTGTCAAATTTTGGATGTTTTTGGCCATTATTTTTTCATACATGCTTTCTATCTCTTTCTTCTGGGATTCCCATAATGCATATGGTGGTTGGCTTGAGGGTGTCCCACAAGTTTCTTAGGCTCTGTTCACTCTTCCTCATTCATTTTGCTCCTGTTATTGTTGTTATGTTGTTGTGAGGTGTCGTCAAGATGATTCCAACTCATAGTGACCCTGTGTACAACAGAATGAAATAGTGCTTGGTCCTGCATCATCTACACAGTCATTGCAATCTCACTGAGGATATTCCTTTTTTTCACTGACTCTCTACTTTACCAAGCACGATGTCCTTCTTCAGGGACTGGTCCCTCCTGATAACATGTCCAAAGTATGTGAGACGAAGTCTCTCCATTCTTACTTCTAAGGAGCATTCTGGCTGTACTTCTTCCAAGACAGATTTATTCGTTCTGCTTGTAGCCCATGGTATACTCAATATTCTTTGCCAACACCATAATTTTAAGGCATCAGTTCTTCTTTGGTCTTCCTCATCTATCGTCCAGTTTTGTATGCATATAGGGTGATTGAAAATACCATGGCTTGGGTCAGGTGCACCTTAGTCCTCAAAATGACATCTCTGCATTTAACATTTTAAAGCACTGTTTTGTAGATTTGCCCAATGCAGTACATCATTTGAGTTCTTGACTGCTACTTCCATGGGTGTTGATTGTGGATCCAAGTAAGATGAAATCCTTGACAGCTTTCAATATTTTCTCCGTTTATCATGATGTTGCTTATTAGTTTAGCTGTGAGGGTTTTTGTTTTCTTTATGTGGAGTTGTAATCCATTCTGAAGACTGTAGTCCTTTATCTTCATCTGTAAGTGCTGCAACTCTTCACTTTCAACAAGCAAGGCTGTGACGTCTGCATACCGCAGGTTGTTAATGAGTCTTCCTCCAATCCTAATGCCGAATTCTTCATATAGTACAGCTTCTTGGATTATTTGCTCCGTATACAGATTAAATAAGTATGGTGAAAGGATATGACCCTTACCTGATTTTAAACCTGATTTTGCTCCTAAGACATGATGATTTTAATTGTTCGGTCTTTACCTTCACTGATTCGTTCTGCCAACTCAGATTGGCTGTTGAACCCTCTCAGCGAATTTTTCATTTCCGTTATTGTAGTTCTCAGCTTCTGTGTTTATGTTTGGTTCCTTTTTATAATTTCTGTGTATTGATAGTCTTGGTTTTTGTTCTTTGTGCTTTTCTTTAGCGCCTTGTGTAAATTTAATACTGTTCCTTTAAAGTCTTTTTCTAGTTAAGTCCAGTTTTTCTCTAGT